TGCCTGTTTACTTTCCAGCAGCACTCTGCTCTGGCAACTGCAGTGGGTTTTTTTTAACCTTTTGTGCTCCCTTTACAGCATATGAAGAAGTGGTAGTGAATATAAAAATGAGCTTTGAATGGGCAAAATAAATATGTCTTGGTTTTAAAAGGCCTTAAAAATCCTATAGAATGTAGAAAGAGGGGTTTAACACTACTTTACCACTCCCAGACTCAATGCTGTTATGCAGATAATCCTGTGTTACATGATAAAAGATAGTTAAAGAATCTGTGATTTGGGCATTTCTATAAGGACTTTGCTTAATRATTAAGAAAAATCCTGTGGAAGCAGTCAATTTTATATCACTCACACACACACACACATATATATATCTATCTGTTTCAGTTTACTCATTAACATYAGAGAACTCTACAATAATGACTCAGTCTGCTATTTTCAGGAGAAAAAATGGCAACAGTGCATCTGGGCTTGAAACCACCTCCTTCAGCAGAACTGCAATCTTCAGGGCTATTTCACTTTGCATCAGAGACAGGGGGATGTCTCACGCTGCTGCACATGAGGCTCACCCTCAGGCTTCRGCCCCTTATTTTAGAATGCTGTGGTGATTCTTATATTTTCAGCATGTTATAAATAAGTGCTTCTGAGGGAGTCAGCATTTCTTATCCATTTGTTTACCATAGCTTTCCTSTCTGGATTATTTGCTGCCCCTTCCCAGTGCTGTGTTTTCCTGTCTGAGGCTTGGGTGGCTGATCTCTTCTTGTCGCTCTGTGGTCCCTGAGTGGGCTTTCCTGGCTGGGACTTCCTGGCTGGCAATGAGGAGAAGCTTTGTTCCTGTCTTCCTTTATCACCCTCAGTTTCTGCCTCCCTGTTCTCAGTTATAGTTTTCCTCTTTCCTGTCTCTGTTCCTCTGCCACAGGTGTGTCCATGGATGCAGGAAGCATCCTTCCAGGGCTTCCAAGGAGAAAGGACTGCCAGCCGCATTACCTTCCATGCTTCCCAGCTTCATGTCCATCTCATGACTGCCAGCTCCCCTCATTTGTTGCCACACTTACTGTTCATCCTTTCTCTTCTCTTTCTCCCATCATGTCTCCAGCTTCTTCCTGTCCCTTTGTCTCATGATACAGCCACCTCTGTGCTGCTGTCCTAGAAGATCTGTCTCACATCTTCAGCCTGTAGCCCCTCTTGTCTCCCTCTCTTGTCGTAAGGCTCTCCAGAAACCTATAAAGGGGGAAAGAGCTGGCAACTTTCATCAGAGGAACATGGAATTGTATTCAGTAGAGATAGTACTAAGTCCCTGAAGTCTGAAAATGTAGGAAGGTGGGAGACAACTGTGAGAAACAGAAATGTCAAAAAAATGTGGAGGATTTGGCAGCCTTGTCTTTGTGTCTACTGTGTTACCCTGCAGAACAGAATTGAAGACAAACAGATGAATGTGCTAGCGTTGAAGTTACTGCATGCAAGTCTGCTACTGAATTACTTTGAGGGATTTCATTTTTTCATTTCAAGGTTAATTTTTTTGTCATTGTTCTGCTCTATTTAGTTTCTCTTCAGGTAATAGTAATGAAAGGTACATTGCTCCAGAACAACTGCAAACCTCTGTCTTTCAAAATGCTTGTTCAATAGTTCTCTCCTTTGGCTAAAATCATAGCAGATCTGATTGAATGCTGTCAGATTGCCATTGCTTTGTGTCACTAGCCCAGGACCAGACTGTAGTCATGAACCTTTGGTAAAATCCATTATAAAAACACTGGTAGGAAACTGGTTAATAYCAGTCTAATGCAGTTAATCAGATTATCTTAAGAGTACATACCTCTGCAACCCCTTTGTAACTCTATCACCTGGCTTGCCCAGTTCCTTTAATCATTGTTAAAAAAGGGGAAAATTCAAAGTCYTTTGAGTGCAAAAAGTAGCAGGCATCAAAACAGTGATGATTTCAAAATCAGCCTAATCATTATTCAGTATTGTGCTTACCTCTGATGGGAGATAATGCTGCTGTGTCCCTCCTTGTCTGAAACTGCTTACAGCTGCTCTCTGCAGCTCACATCATAACGTGTGTGCAGTCAAATCTGGCTGTGTTTGCCACTGCTGATACAAGCTGCATACTCTGGGAGTACAATTTTAATCAATCATTGTAAATAATGCTGTACTTATTACAAAGCTCTAAAGTGACCTAAAATTTATCTGTTCTAATTAGTGTAATGTAACTATTAACCTCAATGAACTGATTTAACTTGTAAAATATAGTTTCAGTAATAAAAAGCAAAATGAAATTTTACTTGGTGTAAATGCATAGATTATCTGGCTCAGGAAGATGTGGAGACAAATATAGACCTGAACTGCTAACCCAGACTGTTGTTTTGGGTCTTTTTCTTGAACTGGAACTGAAGTTGAGCCATTACTTTGAAGTCTTGGCAGTGTTTGACCCAGAACTGAAGTGATTCCAGCTTGCCTTCCTGAAAAGTATCTAGCTCCTGCTCTTGAATCCTGCCATCCTCCTGCATAGCCTGTGCCGTGTTGGCAGCTGCCTGGCAGCACTGTGTCGCAGTCTTTTCCCCTCCACTGCTTGGGATGTCATCCTGCAGTGCTCTCAGTTGCTTTGGAGATCCATGCATGGATCAGTTCAAGTCAGACCTTTCCTGACTCTGGCACAGGGGACTCTCACTGCAGTGTGCTGAAGTGTGGGTTTGCAGCTCCCCTATGGTGTAGGGCTGCGGGGACCCTCCTGCAGATTGAGAGGACAGCGCTCCACAGGCCCTTTCCTTCCCTCACCCACTCCCAGGGTGGCCATGGGGCTTCACACTGCTGCTGCAAAGGCTGTGGAGGGAGGGAGGTGGGAATGCAGTCCAAACTCATGCTGAGAGCCTGCTTCTGTCTCCTAACCCATAAATCTTGTCTAAACAAGGTGGTTTGGTACGAGCAAGCTTGAGGTGGTTCATCCTTACCCAGACTGGTTARCAAATATTTACTGATCTCCAGTCGATCTAAACTGCAGTCATGCTATCAAATTGGTGATTCTGCCCCTTTCCTGACAACTGAAGTAGCAATCATGCTTTTTTTTCTGTATTATGATATGAGTAAGGGCAGAAGCTTTGTGGTTTTCAAAACCTGGCTGTGATAACCATTGCCATGTCGCATAGACCATCTCAGTGCACAGGGTGAGAGGGGATGGCTCTGTGGTGATCCCAGTCATCCTAGGTCTTTGGCCAGCACGGATGCTAAAGCTCACCCAGTGGACCACAGGCACTGGGCCCTCCCTTCTCAGAGCATCAGGTGGATTTTCATGCAGTTATCTGTGTTTTACAGCACAGAGCTGTACATACATCAGTAGAGGCAGGAAATGGCATGCTGCTGAATGCATACTGACATACCTCTGCCTCTTTGGAGTTAAGTTCTTACTTAACTTTCAAATGTATATAAAATTMATTTATCTTGATTGGAGGCTGCACGTGCTTTCTTTGTATTTCCAATCAGATGTGCTAGAGCTTTTCTTAGTTTTTCTGAACCTTCCAGGAAGACCCTTGTCCATCGAGGGTCTCGTGATCCATGACCAGCTGCCTTGAGGAGGCACGGGCATGTGCTGTGCTGTGCCATGCTGTGCTGTACCCATTACTTGACCCTCAGGACCGTGCTGTGCTGTACAGATTCCTTGCCATGGGGTACCTTCAGCTGGCCAGTCACAATGGAAAATCCTGGAGGGGGCATCTGTGTGGTACTAGTGGTGACACCATGGCACATACTTGTCTTTATCTTGAGGTGAAGCAACATGCTCTCATTTAAACATTCCATTGAAAATCCTGTGAAAACTCTGAAGGCCACGATGTGGGTGAGCCTCTGTGCCAGTGGGAAGCCTGGGCAGTGTGCCATGGGTGGCCTGGTCACAGGTCTGCCTGCCGCTCTTGACTCGGGATTCCAGTGTCAGAAGGAACTAAAGGTCTTTTAGTCTGCTGCTCTCTTTTCGGTGATGTGWATGAAGTTGTTACTTTTCTTGAGAGTATTTGTCATTCTCTTTTGGGGTACAATAAAAATGAGAACTTCCTGGTGCAAAACCATAGGCCGCCCTATATTTGTGAATGTGGTAATAAATTATGTAGAGAGAATTCTATTATTGAATAGATGCCCTTCCACTTAGGCCTCCATTAATGGTGTGCATCATTAGATCTACGTGTAATATTGTGCTGTGTGGGAAGGAATCCCAGGCTGAGTCTATTTTTGAACTCTAATGGTTGATTTACAATGAGTTATGGTAGCAGAGTTCAAATGTTTGGTGATTATTGCTGAGCTGGACTACTATCAGGCARTTTTAAAAATAAAACTTGCAATTTGAAGAGTATAATTGAAGTTCCTTGACAGAACCCTGCTTGACCTCTCAGCAAATGCACTGGATTTCCTGAAGCAGCACTCCCAGGCAGGATGATGCCACAGGGTGATGCCACCCAGCCTGGTCCTGCTGCTTAATGGGGCTATTGACCTCTCCTTGCTGGTTCTCTGCCTCTTGTGAGGCTCATTATGTGTGGTGCAGTGCACATGATCTTTAAGGATCTTCATGGTGGAAACAATGGGAAGCTAAATTACCATATAGGAAGGATCCTGCAGGAAACCAAAATTTTTATGAAAAGGATAAAGGAGGTGCAAGACATGATCAGCTGGTTTGAGTACCAGCCGTGTTTTGCTTGCAGAAGKGTGTCTGGGCTTTGCAGTATCTATTCTATTCCTCACAGAAGTTCAGTCTTCTGAAACTGGGAAAGAATGGGAGCCAAATTGTTCTCTCCTTTTCCAGAAGTTCCCCGGGGTCAGTTTTGCCTGCACCTGGCCCTGACTCTGTGCAGATATGTAGTTTCATATGGAAACCRTAAGCTCAGCTGGGATGCAGGAATGTCTCCAAAAACCTCCTTGAAAGAAGGAAGCGTACAAGCCCTTAGCAGTGATGTCCATGTGTGATTCTGCTGTGTATGTAATACTGATTAAACTCCTGACAGGTGTTTTCTGATTTTGTTTTGCAGGAAGAAATCATTCCTGTTTTCAGCTCTGTATGCTGCCTTTATATTTGGTGGTCGGCACCTAATGAACAAACGAGCAAAATTTGAACTGAGGAAGCCGCTAGTGCTCTGGTCTTTGAGCCTCGCTGTCTTCAGGTAGGCAGTTCTTCTCTTCTCCTGCCTTTGGCATCAACCCTGAGGAGGTTTGGGGTTCTTCACATATGAACAGCCCTGCTGGTGTGACAGCAGGCTCACACAGAAATGGCATTTCTTTGCTTCTGCTGTTCAGGGTTGTGTCCTGATCCACTCCTCACCATTGGAATGATCCCCTTTGACTTAGCAGATKRTAGAGCRTTTGAAGAGGGGAGAAATCAATAASCCTCTTGAAGAGCAAAGGTGAAAATTAAGGACATGAGAAAAGCGTTAATCATTGCAGTACATTTACCATGCAAGTTACAAATGGAAATAAACATATTAAGATGTTAGTATTGTTCTCACTTACTGGTAGCGTTATGTTTATATGGTGTGTATATATGGAATATTTAGTTAAGACTGATCTCCATTACAGTGAGGAAAACTAAAAGTCACTGCTTTCACGACAGGTAAATCAGGCCACTGTAATTGAAATCAGGAGCTGACTTCTGGTTATTCCATCAYAAATTGCTTGTGAGTGTAGCAAAAAGTGGCTCCACAGGGAAAGGCTGTTTTTTRGTGATGTACATCTCTTGGCTGTGTGTTGACTCCATATTGAGTATGGGRAATGTGATGTTCAGATTGCTGATAGTTGTTGAAGTCAGAAGTAAAATTCACCAACCTGAATTCCGCTTCGTCTGCTTAATAGGCTAATTTTAATGAGGCTGAAAATAAATGACTGAACAAGGAAATGCTTATAAAATTAGCCCTTACACAAACACATGAATTTTGGTACAAATTACTAGCAACAGTACACAGATGACCTGAGGATTATCCTTCTTCTCAGTGCCCTGTGAGATTTTTAGGTTGTAGCTCACTCAACAATATACAGATCATCCACAAACCATTATCAAACACTCGTACCTGTATCTTTCTAATATCAGTGTAATAATTACTGATTATATTAGTTCACAACTACATAAATCAGGTTTGCTTACTGAGCAGGTGTGAATGGTGCATTATTTTTCACAGAATGGGAATGTTTTTTGTTGAGAGACTGTACAGAGTGAAATAAAGCAGGAATTGAGAAGTTTGGCTTTTTTTCACGGCTTTTCCTTTTTTTCCCCCAAATTATATCACCTTGAAACTTTCCAAAAGTTTAATTTGGCTTGGTTTTAATAGCTCATCAACACACTAAAGAATTTCTCAGAGTGGACAAAACTTTCAGCAGTCTGGATAAGTTTGAGAGCAAGTTCTAACACTGTGAAAAATTGTGATTCTCATCTGATTGCACTTGATGCTGTACTTCTGACTGTGTGAGTCCAACCTCATTTTGCTTTAAGGTCCTGTAAGCAATTGTCATTGTTTATTCCAGAAGGTGCTGAATCTCAGCAGCTGTTGAATTGGTTCCTAGATGGCATTTTGTTTGTGGATCAGTTTGTAGAGTGGTTTGTAGCCAGCAGGATCCCAATTCCAACTGCACTTTCTCGTTGAATGTGGACACTGGGAACTAGCTGGCTTACACAAACATTTGTAGTTTAATTCCTGGTCTGAGAGATGGAAGCCTGATTTTGGAACTCTCCTTTGCATAAGATGTCTAGGGCGAATTTGAAAATCAAATCATTTTGAGATGTGGCTGACATTCACATTGTGGGGTTTTTATGCAATTTCATGAGCCAATTTCCTCCTAAATCGCAAGTGATCGATGCACTGATCAATAAACAACATGAATTTATACTGCAGTGCCTAGGTGGATTTTGAAAACAACACATTCATTACTTGCTAATTGGAGTTTCCCATCATAATCATACAAAATAGCTAACTCATGGCCAGCAKGAGCTGCTGAGTGATGCTGGGTGATATAAAAAATGTGGACTTCGTGTTTTGAAGCTGCAAGCTGCCAGTATGAATCTACCACAGAGCCCACCTCAGTGCAGGCACTCGAGGTGAGCTCTGCTTGCACACATGAGATGCATTGGCCAGAGGGGCACRGTTAAGAGAGGGAGGGACTCACAACTTCACAGTTTGCTCCCTCCAGACAGCACCATTCAAGGGTCAGTGTTCCCCAAGCACTGCAGAACTCACCCTTTCCTCTCTGTGTCAGGAAAAGAAACAGCAGAGAGTAGGGGATGTGTGTGAGATGTTTGGTCTGCACAGAAGCACTGTGCTTTTAACTGGCTGGATTTGCAGTGGGCATCAGTTGATTATAGGGAAGAGTGAAATAGGGAGGGGAGAAAAACAACTCAGAATGTTTGCAGTAAGACAGAGCATGAAACTTTTGTAGCTTCCACAGCAGTATGCAATCCCATACAAAACTCCTTGACTTCTTGCCTGGAAAACAGGGGAAATGACAAAGAATTCATTAAAACCTGAGATGAAGACTTCTTTAAAAAGTGTTCACTGGAACATCCATTACCTGGTGCTTCAGCACTGCTGCCATTTCTGGGGCTGTTGGTCACAGCCTTGCTGGCTCTCAGCAAGCAGCACTCGAATGCTGTAAACTTTCCAAGTAACTTACATTTGGTTTCTTTCTGGCTCCTGTCATAACCMGGTGTTGCATTTATGTATGCTTGGTCTGAAAGGCATTCCTGCTTCCTCTGAAAGTCAATTCAGATAAATTTAGAGGACTGTAGACTTAGTATGGATCCAGAAAAATGCTCCTTAAATTTTAAAAGACTTCCTCTTTGGCTTTCTGGGATGCTAAAATGCTATGACTTTTACAATACCTTGCAGAAATTGTAGGTAACATATTTATCCACCATGAGTGGTTGTACTGAGGAAGAAAAACCTTCCTGGAGAGCTCTCAGTACTCKGTCTCAAGGTCAGTGTGAGGCTTCTTTCTGGACTCCTTGTTTATCTCCCTTTTAGCACCTCTACTTCTTTACCTGCCTCACATATCCTCAGAAATAGTAACACTTAGCAGAGGCTGAAAAGATGTGTTTTGGGCTTTAAAAGAAAAGGAAATTGCCTGCCAGGCAATCACATGGTCCTTTTTCAGAATGTATCCTGTGTGCCTCACTCTTGCCAAGATCATTTAAATGTGGTAGCTGCTACAGTAGGAAACCTGCCACGCTTATAAATAAACAAAACAACTACACCACCCTGCTGAGCTTGCTGAGCATTCAGGAGCCTGGTCAAGAGCAAGTTTTGTGTCAACACTGGCAGCCGGCAGGATTTCTGAGAAAAAAAAAAAAAAAAAAAAGCAGCTTTATTATTTCCCTTTGAAAGCATTGACTAGTTTTGAACATTTTGTCTCTGAAAACTTCAGTAGAAGCAATGACAGTAAATCTTGCTTTTCACTTGGAAACCTCTGTGAAAACATGATCTCCTGACATCTTTTGCTGAGAAATCAGTTTGAGACACTGGGGTTGCTGGGTTGGTTTGATTTTTTGGTCCCTAGCAGCTTTGTTGACTTGTTTCAGGCATTGACAATTTTATCTTCTAAAATGTTTTCAGTCTTTTGTTCTGTTTCAGTTTGTTTTCTACACKTTAATTGTGTTTACCCAGCCAGGTTATGTACTGAGGTCATTTGGGGAGTCCTGTGTTGCTCTAATAGGAACCTGCTGTTAGGGAGCTACACAAAAGGTCTTCCTTCATCCCATAAAACCCCAAGGAAACCACTGCTGTTTCACCTATATAATCAAAATGACAGGCAGTCCTGAATTCCTGAATACATCTTGGGGTTTAAAATCTGCAAAACGCATCAAACCTGAATTGCCGGWTTTATATTCATGACACTTTGAACATAAAGTTGGGGCTATTCATTGAATGTTTTACTTGGAGTTTATCAAAAACGTCATGCTGGCATCTGTAGAAATCAGCAAAGCTGAAGCCAGGACTCACAGAAGGATATGAAGTCATTAATTCATGTTTTCATTACATCTCAGATGGATTTTTATAATTCCTTTCATAGGAAAGGCCATGGAGTCTGTGTTTGATGGGTAGCATTTCTGTCAAGGAGTTTAAAYGTGGTGTGATCTCCTTGTCCTCACAGAGTTCAGCAGCCTGGCACTGTTCTCCTCTGCTCTGCATCCTTAAGCAGCTGGCAGCAGAAGTTTYAGGGTCAAGGATCTAACTAATAATAGTAAAAGGTTGCCTTCCCTGGGGAGCGCTGTCACATCAATACAGGAGGCAAAGAAGCTGGAATATCTAACGTGATGCAGTCGTTTGTAGGCAGAGGCCTAAGCTTGACCGTGGCTGGTGGGTGCAGTGAGAGGAGGAATATCTCTTCATCTGGCCAAGCCACACCACTATAATGCTTTTATCATCTCCTGAGATCTCTTAGATTCTAATCCAAACCCAGCTGTGCTTWGTAGCAGTGGAGGAAATGACTTGGTGTCAATACAGGGTTTCCAAATGTTTTTCTTCCTGGTAGGCACTTTCTCTCTTGTAGATGTGGTATGAAATGCAGCTTAAAGGTCTCTAGCTGCTTGCCAAAAGCTATCTAGAGCTCAAGAGTGAAGTATTCCCACAACAACAGGTCTTATATTTGAAAGACAAACCCAAAAAGACTCACAAAAATAGATGCCTCACTTTCACTCTGTGGCACTGTTTTTTGCTGATTTGCTCCTGGAAGCACAGCAGCAGATGTGGAGGGGTTTGCWCTTGTTCCACAGAAGGCTCCTGACAAGGTAGTCCGAGACACATCTTAATGTGAAGAGCTCAGTTCTCAGCTGAATGAACATAAAAGTCTAAAAAGAACATTAAAAAAAGATTTCAGTTGCTTGGATTTGTGACTCTGAAGTACCATTTCTAGTTATCATGCTTATAAGTAGGAAAATCGATGAAAGATAATTGAGATTTATGTCCCATCGCAAGAGCTGCTATTCACAGATACTTGCCACCGAGATTTAAACACAACTTAATTTCCTATGTTGCTGAGCAACCCATCAAAATCTTAAAATACTCTGAAATTTTATAAGGTCCTGACAGTACATTCAAAGAGAAAATTAATTACTGAAAAGAGGAATGTTTGCCAAATAACATTAAAATTAATAAGCAATATTGCAGGTGAATAATATCTC